GAAAACTACTATACATCATTAAATAATCTAAATTTATTGGTAAAATAAATAAATAAATAAATAAAACTAACCACTAAATTTAGTGGGTGTACATATAATGTATTTTTTAAACGAAAAATAAAGATTACAGAGTGAAGCCTCAGGGCAACAAAAATGAGCGATATCCCAAAGCCACGCTGGTCTCGCCTCAGCAGGAAGGGAATTCAACTACATAGAAGGGATTGAAGACGAATGACCCATAGACGCCAAACGTCAACAACAAATTAAGTTTGCTTCCTATTAGACATGATGAAATTATATTATGAAATCTGCACGCCAACTTCTGGACGTTGAAAATCAAGGGTGAGAAGATGGCAGGGAGTTGGAGAAACACCATTCAAAGCATCAATAAGAATTTTCGAGTCTTCCTCCACTTCCAGATTCAGGAGACCCTTTGAGAGCACCATACGAAGACTATCAACCAGTTAATTTTTTTTTTTTAATAAACAATAATATCTACACCAAGAGGATGGGAGAGTGGGTTAAGTCTCAAAATGGACTTGCAATAATGAAGTTCAAATTCGCTTTTAGCAAAAATCAACCAATTATTAGACTTGCAAATTTTGCACGAACCAGCAAAAGTATATACATGTAACATTGCTGAGTGCAGTTTGATGATTAAGAAATTTCTAACTGTATGGTTAAATGTGAATCTCAAATGATTTTGGCTACAAATCTTTAATGGCTCTCGGTGTCTTACGCTCTTGCTCTCTACTTTTTCAACCCTAAACCCGAAAAATCCTAAGCTCTTGCTCTCTACTAATTAAGAGGCATTGAGGGAAAAATACTTGTCCCAACCGAATTGAAAGTATATTAAAAAACCAAAAAACTATTAATTGTTGTAGTAATACCATGTGTTTAGAACTTTAGATCAACTAGTTAGGATATAAGTTACAAGTCTCGACTTGTTTGTGTGTTTGCAAATGGAGAATTTTTAGGTTCTGTGGTGACAAAGATATTATATCAAATCAGTGATCCCATGCATCGAGAGTCGACAGATGGATGATCACGGGAGAAAAGGTTAATTGGCTTTTCTTTCTGGGTTTAGGAGCAATCTGACTCTGACTGAGTATACGTACGTAGATATATATGAACTGTGTTGTGGTGGAAGACACGAACTGTGCCATGCGGGGCTCTTGCTCGTAAGGTTCAGATTTCCCGTTTTGGTAGGTCCTTTCTTTTACACAGTTCTTGAACTGCTCTTTTTATCTCTCTCTCTCTCATATTTATATATTTAGATTTACTTTTTAGTAATCAAATCCAACAGTTTCAACCAGAGCAATGATGGATGGGTAAAAGTAAAAGTACGTATAAATTGGGTAGTAATTGTTCGTGATGCCATGCAATGCAACTCTCATGGCATGGCTATATAGCCACATAGGGAAGGGTTTATCTCTCCGAAAAAAAAAGCTAGGATTTGGAAATATCTTTTACATTCCCCTATTTCTCTGGCCATTTTATTCCATCAGATGCGATGCTATGACGCCATGTTACCTCATAACGAGAGATTTTTCAATGTGATCATTATACGAGATGGTACATCACGTATCCCTATATAAATGATGATTTATGTGTGTTAAAAGATTAATAACTTAAAATTTAAAATTTTCCGTCACAACTAAAGATTTCTTCCTCATAACATATCTAAGAAAATGTCTTATTGGCCTGTCACTCTGAGTCATCTTATTTAATTAGCTCTCTCTCTCTCTCTCTCTCGGCTGTTACGTACAAACAACTTGCCATGGTATAGTACGAAAGTGATCATTTCTTTGGGCTTTTGCGCGTGGCAAAAGGAAACCGGTTAAAAGAGTAAACCCTAATTTCACTCTTCCAAAGTTCAAGCTGGATGTAGCATTTGGGATAGACATGGCATTCGTATCGTGTTTTTCATGTTCGTATCGTTTTTGTGTCATATCCAATATCTTAACAGATCGTGTCGTGTAACATCTATTAAAATAAACGGGTAAAATGACCCGACCCGAAATCGACCCCATAATATTAACAGGTAATATAACCTGACCCGTTATCTGTTAAGGACATATATTTTGAACCAATAAATAATCAAATGAAAAACATAATACTAAATAAATATATACATACCATATTATCACATTCAAAACATAAAAACGTATTTGTCTTTCAAATATTACATATTTACATACCCAAAATAAGAGCATAATAAAAAATAAAAAAACATTAGAACATTACAAAATATCAAATGTTCAAAAGATTTGCAAAATTAAGGGAGTTATGTTTCAAGGTTTGGAACCTTGCACATTTTCTTACAATCAAACTCTTCAATTCTCATCAATCACCATGGGAAACGGTATTGGAACTTTGGCTTGATATATTGTCTTCAAGAGTTATATTGATGATATTTTCAGTGAGGCTTTCTACATTAGCACTCTCTCTATGGCTATTGTTTAAGTAAAGTCTTTAATAGTTTTTTAATTAATGTAGAAATGTGAAAAATACAGAAAAAAAAATATATAAACACTTGTAATGACAAGCTTTACAACTTTCGTGAAGGGCTTAACTTTGAAACGTGCCACTATAATCATATAAATTATAGATCAAAATTTAACCGTCGATTGTTGTTTACATTTATGCTTCATTTTTCTCACCAAATTTTGTTTTTTCAAATTTTGTTTTTTGAAAACATGATCTATTAGAGGATACAGGAAGATGAACGGTTCAGATCGTTGATATTATGTTCAAAGTTTTACCGTTAGTGAAAATATTGTTTGGTGTTTATAAAGTCTCTACAAACTATATAACATCAACTCATATTTCAATTAACCGTAAATATCGGGATGTGATATCAAAGATCTGAACCGTTCATCTTCCTACATCCCCCAGTAGATCATGTTTTCAAAAAAGAAAATTTTAAAAATGAAATTCAATATAAAGAATAAAGGCTAAACGACAGTCGACGGTTAAATACAAATTTAAGGTTTATGGATTATAGTGTTGGATTTCGAAGTTGACCCCTTTACGAAAGTTGTAAAGCTTGTCACTATGAGTGATTTTTTTTTTTTTTTTTTTTACATTTCTTACAGTTCTACAATAATTATTATTAATTTTATTACTTTTACACTCAAATAAAAAAAACAATATTCATGACAGTTTGGAGGGTTTTAAAAATCTAAACGATAATGTAAGTGTAACCATTGTCTACTCATGGAGGAATGATGAATCACGAGTGTTTATATATTCTTTCACTTTTTTCATACTTGTAGGAATGTCTTATTGCCTGTACTAATACTATACTAGTTGATTTTAATTTTGGACAACAACATGTTAAGTAAAATTTATCCTGTTAATGATAATAAGAAACTCTCATAATAAAAATAAATAAACAAATAAAACTTAATTTTTTTAACTTATATAGAATAATAATACAAAAATATATATTTAATATAGAATATACCAATGTATACAATATGGCTATTGTATTTTATAATAAAAAAAATTTGTAATTAAACTTTAAAATTATATTTTATTTTTCTTAACCAGTCAAAACGGGTTACGCGCGTGTATACCCATTAAGAACCTATTATTAACGGGTTCTTAATAGGTCACCCGATAATGACCCGATTAGTTATCGTGTTGATCCAAAACCCATTATTTTCGTGTCATTTTCGTGTCGTGTAAGAAACTGCCGGGTCTAATTTGGGGCTTCAAAGATTAAGAATTTCAATGGTATGTTTAATTAATTTGAAGACAGTCAAAAGTGTTTTTAGTTAACCAAAAACGTATTAAGGATTACTTAATTGAAGAAGATCGGTAAGTAACCCTTGAAGAGTGAAACAAGAGTGGTATCCAATGCGAGATATCTAACTCTAACAGATAACAATGCACATATATCGATCCCAAACCTCAATGATTCCCTAGTAGGACAATTAGACAGATCATTTGTACTCCAAATGTTCTTGACTGAGTGAGATTTGGCTGTGCCAGTGCCATTGCCAATGGTACAATAATTCAATCCCTAAGGACGATATCCTCACCTGGAATGTTTCATCACCACGCCTTAGTTTCAATGCCTTTATCAGTACTTTTATTATTTGTACTTCCCTTTCACATGTGAACTCTATGTCTGTTGGACTGTTATTATAGTTTCAACAAGTAAATGTTAGACGATGTTAATTGTGTTTTTATTAACAAATGATATTATCTACATTAAGAGAGTGATATCCAATGTTAATTTTGCATTTTCCAAAATTATAAACCAATTTTCATGATTCTCAAATCACTAGTCATCAAATTTCAGGGCTCAACTCTAGGCAGGTGATGGAGAAATTAACAAGTTGGACTACGATTCAAACAAGGGATATTTTTCGATGGAGCGGTAAAATTAGACAAGAAAGAACATCGACCGCAATCAAGTGGCATTTAAGAGATTTAACTCTTCGGTTTTGAGTTTTGTTAAACAATAAGTTAGGCCCCATTGACAATGATACTGTGAAAGTTGATGTAGATTTTTGATGGTGGAATTTCAAAATTTTCATATTTATTACTATTACTATTATCATTTATTTTATTTTTTATATGCAAAGAGTTTGTAATTAAAGTGATTCGCAACGTACATTTATTCATAATTTCATGCACTTTAGGTATTCTGTTCGATTCTTGACTAATGTTCTCCAATATCACTTGTACAAAATTTAAATTTGTTACAACAGTTCGTATTAAAGAGAAACAAATCACTAAAATTCCTAAAAATGGCATATAGCCTTATGATGCTCGAGTAAAATTCCATGCAACTAAATTCCCCAGAGGGACGCAAAACAATACTATGGGCTTTGTCTGAGCCCAATTTAGCCCAGTCTTTTGGGGGCCCAGCAGAGTAGAAAAGCGTGAGGAACTTCCGAGTGGGCTTCAATATGTTGGCGGCAAAACCTGTTAGAGCGAAACTTCAGTGAGCTTTGAAACCCGACCCGGTTCAATTCTGGTACTGTGCATCTGCTTCTTCTGTACCATGGTTGAACACTCGAACTGCAACAGAAGAAGCAGAGAAAGCTAGGGCACAAAACGCAGGCATGGCCTCGGCTTCCTCCATTCGAAATGCCGTTTATCCCCAAAATTCAACGGCAGTCCGATTACAGACGCTTCCCCTCCTCCACTCCCATCGTCATCGACAATGGCGCCTCCTATTTCCGCATCGGGTATAGCCTCGCAAGAACCCTAATTTCAACTTCTGTGTGCGTAAATTTGTGGCTGTTTTTGTTCATTTCTTCGTTTTTATTTGGGAGCAATTTTCAGGTGGGCAGGAGAGACCGAGCCTCGTGTTATTTTCCGCAACATTGTTCAGAGACCTCGCCACAAAGCCACTGGTACGGTTGATTTTCTCACTGTTATGTATTTTTGGGAGCTTAATTTGCAAGATTCAGGAAGCTTTTCCGTGTACAATTTTGTATTATTATCGAAGGTAGTAACTTAAAAAAAAAAAATCAAAAAATTAAAAAAACTGTATTCCGGGGAAACTGCGGCCATTGTTGAAATACTTTGATTGCAAGCGGTCGGGACCTCGCTCAGCTTTTGACAACAATGTTGTTCTCCGGTTTGAAATTATGGAATATGTAAGTTCAGTTTACTGCTGATTGTATTCTATATTGGTAGCCTCACTCAATTCGTATTTAGCTTGCCTACCTCCTTGAAATGAAAAGTTTACATGATTTTAGTATATACCATGTATAAAATATAGAACGCAGCAACATTTACGGGCTTTCTTGCAGTAATCTTAGAATTGTAGGCTTACTTATATTCTTTTGCGTCTGTAAATTCTTGACTTTGCCCTTGATCGGTTGGGTGCAAATGGATCATGGGTATGATTTAAAATGGACCATTTGTTTCTTCGTTTTACTATACTTGCTGAAGCTCTAGATTTTGATTATGAAGGTTCTCTTTGTTAAAAGCAGATTTCTTTTCTACCATGATTTTGTCTATCTTGAAGCCAGTTCTTTTTAACGATAGATTGCCAATATCAGCTTGCATGAATGATATGCAAGAGTGTGTTCTTGTTTTTCTAGATTGTTACAAGCATATTTAAATTTAATGCTTTTTTATTTTTTTTATGCAAGGTTTCAGATCAGTTTGTATATTCAATTCATAAGACCTTTTCCTTAAGTTTGTGTTCATTTGAGGGCAGAACAGATTGATCATCCGATCCTGATTACTGAATGCGTGTGCAACCCAGTTCACTCTTGCAGTAAAATGGCTGAACTTTTGTTTGAGACATATGGAGTTCCATCTATAGATATCAACGGTAACTTAAAATTTTATCTCTTCAGACATGCTTCCACACTGAGCCTTTGGTCCTGTGTAGTTTTTGCTCCCTCTATTATGTCTATTTTTGTTCAGTTATTTAATTTTTCTTCATTTCCATACTTACAGCATATGGTGTTGATGCTGCATTCAGCTACAAGTATAATCTCTGCATGGGGTTTGTGACAAAAATGGTCTTGCTATCTGTCCTGGCTTTAGGAGAAGACAGAACCTGTAGGAAGCGAAAGGTTTCCTCTTTTAAATGTACCTGATAACATGCTCACCTGAGCAGGTATATGCCAAATCTCCTTCACATTCCCCACCATTTTGAAGTCATTGTCTATTGCACTTTCAAGATGTATGCATAGTCTGCACACAATTCATTGCTCTGAAACTTATTTACGACTCAAAAAACCAGAAGTCCTCTCCGTAAACCCAACATTTGAAGACAGCGTCAACCAGAGGGCATCAGAGCTTTCTCCTTATTTCATACTTTTAGGTTTCCTCTCGTCATTAATGTAGTCATTTGGTATTGTTCTCTTGACAGCTGAAGGAGAAAAAGAGACAGCTGTTCCTAAAAACCACATCTGAAGGCCGGTAGCGAGCTAAACAGAAAGGTCATGAAGAAGAACTAGAGCGGGAAAAGAAAAATCAACAAGATGAGCAAAAACAATTGTATGTGACACATTTTTTTAATTTCTCGACCAGAAAATAAAAAATCGATTTGTTGTGGTCACACTTTAAGGAGAGAAGGGTTAATTCATGTTTTCCAAAATTAAGATTTTCTGTGGTTCACTGCTTAGCATGCTAGCTTCCTCTTGATTATTTTAGGGATTTTGGAATGTGTACTTTCTCCTCATCAATTAGTTTCGTATTCTCCTTTTCTCTTTATTGTAGAGAAAACCCAGAACTTTATCTGGAGCAGTTGCATGCTAAATATAAAGATCTTTCTGAGAAAGTTGAACAGAAAAAACGACTTAAGACAAATGGCGGGGCTCATACAAATGGGAATAATTTTTCTGGAAATGTTGGCCGTGGGGAGAGATTAAATGCTGCAGAAAGGGAAAGGATGCGCCTTTTGACAACAGCAGCTTTTGATCACGGCAAGGGTGAGGATACTTTCGGTGCCAAAGATGAAGATTGGCAACTGTACAAACTCATGAGCAAAGATAACAATGATGATGACGAGGGACCAGATGTGGATGAAGCAGAGCTAGCACGTCTATCTTCGAGGCTCAAGGTCAGTTTATTCTGGTTCACTTATGTGTTGACTGTGATTACCATTGTTGTTCGATTCATGATTATTTATCTTGGATCATTGCTTTGACAGGAAGTAGACCCAACATTTGTTCCCAAACCAGATAATGCAAACCCTCAATCTGTTGAAGCACCACGGTTTCGTCCTCTCACCCAGGAAGATTTTCAAATTGTTTTCGGCATTGAAAGGTTCAGATGCCCAGAGATCTTATTTCATCCCAACTGGATTGGGATCGACCAGGCAGGCTTAGATGATATGACTGAGGTGTCACTGAGGAGGCTGCCAACTAAGTTCCAAGAGCTGGAGGAGGGGCTAACCAGTTCAATATTTATGACTGTTGGGAGTATTTTTCCTGGCATGAGCGAGCGCTTGGAGGCTGGAATCCGGATGAAGCTGCTGTGTGGTTCTCCCATAAGGATAGCCAAGGCATTGGATCCGATATTAGATGCATGGCGCGGGGCTTCCGCTTACGCTGCCGAGTCCCATTTCCCGACACAAACTTTCAGCAAGGAAGAGTATTATGAGTAGGGTGAAGACTGTGTCCGGAGATACCAGTTTCGGTATTATACATTGTAGTTGTTTTGTTTTGGTCACCCTTCCTACTGTATGTCCATTGAATGGCACTAAACTCAGCTTCTTCCATAACACACTGATATTGTATGGCATTATTGATGTTGTTAAACCTAGATGCATACAACATGTTAATATCGTCGATGAAATAGCCTCATTCCTCTCGAGCGTCTCCATTTGTTACTTTTTTGTGTTTTATGGCCCTTGGAATGCTAATGTTCTATCTCTCACACTTTTAAAACTCCACGCGTGTCTCTCTTGGTGTGAGAGTTTCCCTAATATGCGGTACTTGGGCAACAATTGTACTCATTCAAACCAAACCCAAACCCTAAAAGAACTTTTTAGGTAAGTAATGACACAATAATGTTGTGTTACAAATACATCAATATTTAATATTATAACACGTTGTATTTAATATACTATTGTCTGAGAAATATATTTGCTGTTAGTCATATCATAACACGTGGGTTAGTATCACTACTAGTTCATAATTACTCGATCCCTCCATAAAAAATAGAAAGAATATATGGTAAAAAGCACATGGGTAGCTCTTTGTTGCCAAAAATTCTACTATATTTTAGTATACGACACGTACTGGATATACAGTTATGAATTTAATGAATAAGAATCCAACGACAAAAAATTTCGATGCATTGAATCACACTAGATTTAAAGGCCAAACAATAAACAATTGAATTCAAGGCAACGGCCTACTTTTGGTAACCACACCAAACTGCCAGCTATAGACGAGCTCGAGCAAAGCAAAAAAAATGACCGTTGTAGCATTCTATACATGCACATTGCGCGTCTTACATTTTTATTTACAGAAATTTAAAAAAATTAAATTAAAAGAAAAAACCCCAGCACCGCTCCTATAAACCCCACTGTTATTCGACCGTTACAAGTCTTCCTCCACACTGAACCAATAGAGAGAAACTCTAGAGAGAGAGAGAGGGAGGCCGGACTTTCCATCCATTGCTGGTCCTTTGGCCTCCTCTTTCTTCTTTCCAAAACCCCATTAATTATACCTATATGATATCGTCACATTCTTCAGACCCAGCAACCCAGCACCTCCTCCTCCAAGCAACCAAGAACCGTATCCGAGAAAACCCGGCAATGGAGTCACCTCAAGCGAGGAAATCCGGGCTCAACCTCCCCACCGGGATGTCCGAGACACTGCTCCGCCTCGATTCCGTGCCGGTTTCCTTTCGGGCGGTTTCCAGTCTCTCAGCATCGCCCGGTTCTTGTCGGGCGATTTCGAACCTGTCCTCGCCGTCCAAGTCCTCGACTTGCAGCGACAGATTCATCCCCTGCAGATCCTCTTCGCGGCTTCACACGTTCGGGCTCAACGAGAAGGCCTCGCCGGTGAAAGAAGGCGGCAACGAGGCGTATGCCAGATTGTTGAAATCGGAGCTTTTCGGGTCTGATTTCGGGTCTTTTTCTCCTGCAGGTGGTGCGGCGTCCCCAATGAGTCCCAGCAAGAACATGTTGCGGTTCAAGACGGAGAACTCTGGACCCAACTCGCCGTATTCGCCTTCCCTTCTGAGAAATGACAGTGGGTTTTCCAGTGAGACGACGCCTCCCAAGCCTCCTCGCAAGGTCCCCAAGACACCCCATAAGGTAATCAATTATCCCCTGTAACCTGTTCTTCCCTCTTTAGATCTTTAATTTTTAATGTTAATTTTGAAAATTTTGGCAGCTTAGGAATACGAAAGACAGAACCTTGCTAAGAAAAAAGTGATTAAAATAGTTTCATTTAGCTAAATATAGCTTAATTCAGCTCAATTTAGCTTAATTAGCTTAATTGTAATGCAGTAGCAAGTTGATCTGATGGATTAGAGCATCTCCAATGGTTGGGCTAAAAGCCAAATATTTTAGCCCGGAAAATTTAGTTTTTAGCCTAGAAACAATTTTTCTGTTCAAACCGTTCTAACCTAAAATTTTAGCCCGGGATTATTAAAGAATGAACTTAGGCTATTTTTTTTGTTAAATTAAATTTTAAAAAATAAATAAATATGCAGACTACCGTAAATTAATTTTATGAACATTTTAATCTAAAAAAATTTAAATTCTGATAAATATTGGGTGGAGTCCACTTCGATTTATGGGCTAAATTTTGGGAGGAATTTGACCTTGGTTTAGCATTTAGCATTTAGCCCAAATTTTTCCCTTGGGTTGGAGAGGGTTTGGGGGGGGGGGTAATTCAGCTTTTAACCCATCATTGGAGTTGGTCTTAGATTACGAGAATGGTTGATTTGAAAAGCTGCATTTCCTATGCTAGTTTGCAGGATTACTCGATATATGTCATAATTTTTTTTTTTTTTGATAAGTTGGTATATATCATCATACTAGCATTGATATTATGATATTATGTCGATATTATGATGTTGATATGGTTTAAGTAATAGCTTGATATTTTGTTGGTATGGCTAAGAATGGAATTATAGGGGAAAATTAAAATGGTTGATCTTAAAAGGCTTGATGGGTTGCAGGTTCTGGATGCTCCATCACTACAAGATGACTTTTACTTGAACCTTGTGGACTGGTCTTCCCAAAATGTCCTTGCAGTTGGACTGGGGACCAGTGTTTATCTTTGGAGTGCATCAAACAGCAAGGTGAGTTTAAACATAGATTTCCAACTTTTTGATTCTGTGGTTTCGAAGTCTAATTCAAAAGCTGTCTCTGCCACTTTCTTCAGTTTGTAGTAGTTTGTGATGCATTGTTTTTCCTCAGGTGACAAAACTCTGTGACTTGGGGCCTAATGACGGCGTGTGCTCTGTCCAATGGACACGGGAGGGGTCATACTTGTCAATTGGCACAAGTCTTGGTCGAGTTCAGGTAGCTATTTGTTTGAATCGATAGTCCTCTGATTTACACTTGATAGACAGATGGCCATTAATTGTGATGTTTTGTTCTAGGTTTGGGATGGGACGCAGTGCAAGAGGGTTCGAACGATGGGCGGGCATCAAACAAGGACTGGAGTTTTGGCGTGGAACTCGCGCATATTAGCTTCAGGAAGCCGAGACCGGAACATACTTCAACACGATCTTCGAGTCCCAGACAATTACATCAGCAAGCTTGTTGGCCACAAGTCTGAGGTATGAAGACTTCAAAAGACTTTGTGAGTAAATGAGGTTCTTGGGAAAACGCAAACAAAATTAACTTTTCTTCAAATTTCAATTCTTCAGGTATGTGGGCTGAAATGGTCCAATGATGACAGGGAACTTGCATCCGGTGGCAATGATAATCAGGTAGCCATTACTAAGCTGTTTATTTTTTTTTCCCGTTCGTGTTCTCTTCTCTTGCTCTCTTCGATGTTTCAGTCAATGGCTAACTTAGTGGCTTGTTGGTGACCAGCTTTTGGTCTGGAACCAGCATTCTCAGCAACCGGCTTTGAGGCTGACAGAGCACACAGCTGCTGTCAAGGCCATTGCTTGGTCACCCCACCAGAGTGGCCTTCTTGCATCTGGAGGCGGAACTGCTGACAGAAGTATTCGGTTCTGGAACACTACAAACGGCCACCAATTGAACAGCATCGACACAGGAAGCCAGGTACATTTCAGTTCTGTTATTCCTACAAGCAAAGAGAATACCCTCAACTCACTCAAGTCGACTTAAACTTACAGGTCTGCAATCTTACATGGAGTAAGAATGTGAATGAGATAGTCAGCACTCATGGGTACTCCCAGAATCAAATTATGGTTTGGAAGTATCCATCCATGGGAAAGGTTGGCCTTTTCATTTTAAACTTTGTAAATGTTCAAATCGACTTGAAGCATAAGAAAATGCAGAAAAAACCTTTTCTGGTTGCAAGCTTTCTATCTAATTCCTTCCGGAATGTCCTCTTGTATAGGTTGCCACTTTAACCGGCCATAGCATGCGAGTTCTGTACCTTGCAATGTCACCAGATGGTCAGGTATTGCACCATTTTTGCCACCCCGTATACGCCACCCTGTATACGCACAAGTTCTTGTTTGTTTAAGCCTAAATTTCTGTTCTAACCCAAATAAAATTGCTTTTACTGCAGACAATAGTCACGGGTGCCGGGGATGAGACTCTAAGATTCTGGAACGTCTTCCCATCTGTGAAGACACATGTATGCATGAATATCATGATCCAATCTTCCCTCCTAAAATCTGTTACGACTTCTTTTCTGATCCTTTTCTTTTCGTTTGTTATTTCAGACATCAGTGAAGGATACAGGTCTTTGGTCACTAGGACGAACTCAGATTCGATGATTCTCTTGCACATATACATGAAGCGATATCTTGTAAATGGAGATGCTCTTATTTTCTTTGTGGTCAGAAGAATACTGTAATTTATCGGTAGTGAAAACACAAATTTTCTTCTTTTTCTTTGGTTCTTTTACGCCACACGAAGTTTTTGTATTTTGTAAAGTGTTCTCGTCTGATTAAGAAACTCAACAACATACATTTTCAGTGTTCATTTCCAGAGCCTCCTAAGAAATGTGTACGACATCGCAACTTGGTTCATAAAATAGAAGTGAAAACCAATAACAGCATCAGTAACATTCAATCGTAATCTTTCGAAAGACACATTTAGTACAAGGTCGTTGAAAGGAATGTGGTATGGTTCAATTCAGGACACAATAATTCACAGCCGCCAATCGATCAGTTTACTCGTCTTGCAAAACACCTACAATGTTCAGAAATGCTGGATTTCTACTCCAAAGTTTGGGGTGCAATCTTCGTTCTAAGTCTTTGCCTGTGACTGCAGACCTTGACATATCAAATAAATCTCTCTTGACGATGATCTTGTAGCTTTAGGCCTCAACAGCGATGCCTTTCTAAACAGCGGTTTGCAAATCTTGTTGATTTCTACAGAACAAACGGCCAGAAGATGGGTAAAAAACATATCCAAACAGAGCTTCAATGGAGCAATTACTGCTATTATGTTACCAGAACAAGGGGTAAAAACAAGAAAGGAATTAAGAAAAGGACCTTGCACATCTTCACTCTCTAAAAGCTTTATCACAAGATTGCCTCCCCTTCGCAATACACCATTATCATCTGAAATTATAGTTGCCCCATCATTACTTTCCTCTGTTTGAATTTCGTTATTGCAATGAGCTAAGGCAGCTCCACCAACAGCCAAATTCAGTGCTTGCACACCTAACTCGAGCGATAAAGCTGCATCCTTACTTG